ATCGTTTCGAAATGTCTTTTTATTTTATGGTGGGACCCCTGCTGTCGGGGGGATGTAACGCGCGCATGTGCATTGTCTATCCGCTCAAAAAACGGTCGATCGACAGACGAGTTGCGGAGGGTCCAGAGGGAACTTGACTGAGCGGCAGAATTGTCCCCAACACGTTCTGTACATACCGGAATACGAAGGTGCAACGCAATGGTACCTTCCAGCTGTACCTGGCACAGCAACATCACGAGAAGTTTGTGCCCGAGCGCATTCCGATTATTTTATTTTTAATTCTTCGTTCAAACTGCGAAACGACGATCAAACGAAACGACGATCAAACGAAACGAAACGAACCATACGCGACGAGACGAAACGAAACGAAACCACACGTCCAGACCATGTAACAGCATGTCTACTGTATGGATTTAGGATTGGCGAATACACCATAAACCCCGTTAACCTAACGAGAGATAACAGATCGATGAGGTTACCGGACAAATTTCGAAGTGACACAGAGGTCGCGGTCCATCTCTCGCCCGTTCACCATTTACAATGCTACAGTCAGTCTACAATATAAAAGAGTAGTGGTACCTGGTACCTGGTACCGGTCACGGACCATGAACGGTAGGCTCATATTTCATAAATGGGGACGGGTATTTTTGAAAACCGCCGTATTTTTCGTACCACCTCTACGTGTCGGCAGCTTTCCTCATGAAATATCGTGAAATATGAATCTGACGGAGGGCAGACCATTAGTTTTTGAAAATCAAAAATAAAGCACTTCTAACCCGGATATGTCGCTAGCACTTTTGTCGTGAGCTGCACTGCTGGTCTGAAGCATTTTGTAATATGTGTCATTGTTTTGCATCGACATCACATCAACTTCAAGCTTGCAGACAAACAAGCAGCACCACAACATTTGCGACCTAGTGAGATAAAGATGACGACATGACAGGCGCCTGAAGCGAGAACGGCAGACTCCAGCGCAACAAGCAGCACAACAAGCAGAGAATGAATCATCAGCTTCACGCGAGCTGCGACAATACGCCAGCATTGTGGATTCGGATTCAGGGTTTTTTATGCGAGAGAAATGCAATCGATCAAGATGTCCTACGGATCGATAGAGGTGCAACCATCCCCCAACTTCGCGCTTGTTGGAAAGCGGTTTTAACAACTTGATCGCATCATATTATGATTGAATCGACATCATCCTTGAAAGGTCAATCAAGGCATGAGAGGGCAGTCAAATCTACCAGTTGAGATTATCTCTGCGATTCTAGTGAAGTATACACTTATCTGAGGCTTGCGACAACTAGCCTGTGCAATTTGCTGAGTAGCTGGACCTGAAGCATCAATCGGCTTGTTGAGTATCTGGACCTGAAGCATCAATCGGCTTGTCCATTATCCGTTTCCCGTCGTCCTTTTTTACATTGGTGCTCGGAGGAACATGTACCTACAGTATGGTTCCGGTACCGGTACTACCGGTACGGTTGCTGCCTCTCGTCATCATTGGAGTTGATGTCCCGGTTCGTCACTAGACCTGCTTGCGGATCTCCCCCTATCCGTGTACATCATTCTCATTTCATATTAACATTGGATGCCTGAAATATCTAAATCTAAACCAAAGCAAGTGCGACGTATGGACAAGGGAAAGACACAACAGAGAAACCTTCACAGTAAAAGAAGTAAACCTGATTGACCTCGCTGATTTTCTGAAGTATAATACGACACTTTTCTTTGTCAGATTCTTGAAATTGCAAATTGACCTGCTGAGGACCCCACTAGACCCCATGGTCCCAAAAACCCCACCAACAGAAGATGACTTTACCAGAAAGAGTGCGATTTCGCGCAACTTTCTTTTAGTGGGCTCATCAACTGACTGTAACAGGACCGATACAAAAGAATCTGAACACTATATTCAACAGCAGTACATGTACCCGCATGATATAAGGACAAACCTCGCTCATCAACTTCTTCCGCTGCGCCCCCTGGAAGATGCTCCTCTGGCAGTTGCTCCAGACCTGTAGATTCTTCGTCCACCTTCTTTTCGGAGTGGATTCGTTTCACGGGCGTGCGTTCCACTACGAGCACCGCCAGAACGACTGGTTGATGCCTTGGACGCTGCTTGAGTGCCTTTGGAGCCGGCGGAAGCAGAGGACTTTTCGTTTGGCTTCTTGCTCCCGTTCTCATCTCCTCGTGCCCAGCTCCACCATCGGATACTGCTGCTGGATCCCCCATATCGACGATTGCCGACACCATAGAAGTATCCACTTCGCACATCTCCTCCGCCTCCAGACTCCGACACTCCAACAGGTTGATTCCCCATCACTCCTAGGTATTCCTCATAGGTCATTTTGGCATTGGAGCCAGAACCAACGGCGTTTATACCGTACAGCTCCTCTCTCAGTTGTTTCTGAATGGGAGTGATTGGGTAGACAAAATTGAACTTGTCACCAGGTTTCACAGCCGCGGCACCTTTTGTGACAACATGAGGAACAAAACATGAATCGTCATTGGTAGTAATGGCCTTGTCCTCGCGGAAACAGATTCCAACCGGCAAACCATTCACGATCCATGCACTCGTCACGGCGGTCCTTCCATCGAGACGGGCAGGCCGATGATACTTTTGAAAGATTGGTTTGCCCAAAAAGTAACCAAAGGTTGGTGATTCCTCCTTGCTATGCACACTCCCCCAATCTCGTTCGCGCAAGGTTTCCACGGAATCTTTGTCGAATGACCCAATGTATGGTTTCACATACTTGAGCAAACTCTTCAAAGATGGACCACCACTACCACCATTGTTGTCTTCGAGGTATGAGATTAATGTTTTGGACGAATTCGAATTCCAGTCGGAAAAGGTTGGGTCAAATTTGACAGCACAAGAAACATCAATCGACTGCGATGTATTCGTGATCATTGTGGCAAACTCCCCCCATGAGTTGTAGTCGTCCGAGTACATGATACCAATCCCCTCTCGGCCGAATCTTGGCTTCGCAACCCATCCATCCTTTGTGTTGGTCTGGCGCACCTTCTGGACCTGATTCAAGTTCCAGTAGGTTGGGAGCAAATTTGGATGGCCTTTATGTTTCTCCCACAAATATGCCAACATTGCTTTGCTTGATAACACCAATTTCCATGGGGGTTCCAGCCACTTCAAGTTTCCATGCAAAAAGGCATGGTTTGTCAGCGCCAAGCCCAATTTTTCTTGAACGAGCCATTCGTAGGGGTACAGCTTCCAAATGAACAGTGATGCGGTTGTTGTCGATACATCCGTGTTGAAATTTCCCTTTTTCTCGTTACTTGACGCCTTCAGCAGATTTTCAAACAGAACGGGTTCGTCAAGGTCTTCGATGTCAACGAATTCGGTTGGTAATCCTGCTAGCTTGGCACAGTTTTGCATGAAAACAGAAGTAGATCGTTCTTCCAAGAATTCACTTTCGGGCGACTTTGCATTTGTTGTGAATATGATGCTAGCACCTGGATTCTTACGTTTGATACGTTCAAAGGCTTCTTCCATGGCAAACTTGATGACATTGAACTGAGTAAAATCGTTCTTGTCGTTGAGCTTTCCTTCGCCAGGAGAACCATAGACTTCTTGAAACCAATTCTCTTGAGCAATGGCAGATTCAATCAAGACTGTTGGGGTATCAGCATTGTACTCGGCAAGTTTCGGTGGAGTGGTACCATCCCATAGCAAGTCCATTCGGCCTCCAATATCAGTCTGACGAGCATTCCAAGATACTCGAATGGCTTCCCACAGATCCCGGGGAATTTCAAACTTTTCCAACAAGTCATCCGACCCAATGACTTCATTGGCTGCCTCCAGACACATGGAGTGAATCTGAAACGCAGCCGATTCGAGCATCCACCGACCAAATGGATGGACATGATAGGATGCTTTCTCGTTCCAGTAGTGTTCACTTTCGCCGAAGAATGACCCGGAGGGGACTCCAGGATAATCGCCGAACGGAAATCCAATCTTTTCAAAGGTTTCCTTCCAGTTGGATCTTGGGATTTCTTTCTTTCGAGACAGGTAGATCGGTGTGTCGTCTACTTCTTCTTCTTCATCCCAATCCTCGAATTCGCTTCTTAGATACACTGCTGCTGCAATGAACAACAAGAAGCCAGCTAGTGCCCCGAATGCTGAAAGGTTCGATTCATCGTTCTTCGGTTCTTTATCCGTCTTTTTGAGGCTGGACAACCGTTGGGCGTGTTGATTCTTCCATCGGATACCAGTTTTTCGAGTTGTGGAAGCAAAGAGTGGTCTCAACAAGGTGATGGGCTTGGTGTGTGCATGACGACTTATTGTGACCCGATGATGATTCCGAACCTTCAGTTTCGAAGAGAGCCGACTCCGAATCATCGACCGTACTGCCTGTTAGCCACGCCTATCAGCAGTTGCGATAAAAGAGGCTCACTGTACAGATGTCAGGAGAGGAGGTGGGTCCGCACAGCATTGAGTACTGTTATCGGCACCGCTGGAGATTGTATGCAGTATTCAGTATATAAAATGCGAATAATATATATATCGCGTCCAAAAGAATAATCACCAATATATACCGGCATATACCTACCGGTATATACACACATGATTTAAAATATGCATAAAATATGTTAGTCGGACGATGAGTCAACATAATGACGGAACCAGATGTGACCTCTAGCTAGCTAGTCTTACCACTACTTATCCCCAATACTGTTATATATACTCTAAGTCTGCAGAAAGAGGTCGTGGTCGATTTTGTTCTATATTTAACTTTGCTGGAGGAAATGCAAATCTTCTGATCATCGTGAAGTCGTTACTTGAACCTCCCGTTTTATCCATGTCAACTTTGCTTCTACCCCTTCGTTGTGGCCAGAACCGATTCCAGATTACTCAGTCAGATTTGGTAAATTTTTCAAATCTATGACATTGTTGTTTCCAATGCAATGGATCATATTCCTCCAGAGAGACTGGTGCTACCTTGTCGTTTCAATTTACCCTTTGGTATGGGGGGTTTGATATCTTTCAGTTTCGACGCTTTTGGTTTCGCAAGTGGTTTCGCATCAACATTTGGTGACGATAGACTGGTGCTACCTTGTCTTTTCAATGTACTCTTTGGTACTGGGAGTTTAGCCTCTTTTTGTTTCGTGGACGCTTTCGTTTTTTCATCATTATTTGGTAATGATTGTTTGCGGAAGGGTGATACATACGAACTGCTGGCAAAACTTCTTTGAAGTTCACTCGTATTTTGTAATGGGTTGGGTCCCAATGGTGGTTGGCGGCTTTGGCTTGCTTGGTCGCCATTCGATGCTTCTGGTTTTGACTTACCACTGATTCGTTTCACGAGCGCCTTGCTCTTGTTCAAGGCTCTTTTTGGGCCCTCAAATTCGGTCGCCAACACACCCAAACCTCCAGCTTGAATTGGGTGCCCAAGTGGGTGTAGAGGTGTGAATAGAATCATTGTCCCCGAGGCAACAATTGCAGATCCAGTGACAGCTACAGCTGTTTTGCGCACCCTATCCCCTATGCTGAGTCTGTTCCCATCTGCATCTTCATGTTCTCCCATTTCTAGCGGTGGTATTTCCCCTTGTGCCTCCGGAGTTTCTCCTCGCTCTGCTCTCAATTTGGCTTGCTTCTGTCGCTCTATCAATTCTCGTTGTGATAGCTGCCTGCCACTACCGGTACCTTGAAGCCAACGAGGATTTTCTAAATTGCGTTGTGGCTGGTAAAACATGGAACCTTTTGCTGCAGAAGATGGTTTTGCAGCAGAGGCACCACCGTTTTGTTGTGACGAAAGTTGCTTGGTGGTCGTTTGTAGGCTGTTGGAGACATCAAAGGATGGCGAAGTGTCCAAGTCAATATTCAGTAGATCTTCCTCGTCGTCCATGGTGATGTACCGGTATCAATATCGCCAATTCCTTTATTTTTCTTGGATACAAACTCCTGTCAGTACATCACTACCGATGAGGCTTTGCAAGAATGAAGAGGAGATGACGACACCACAATAGAAATGGTCATTGAGAAAGCGTCAGGCATGCGCTCGTGTTGGGGGTGGAGACAAAATGGGCTCCAACTCTTTGTTGAAAACTTTGGGGGAGGACTGGACTGTAGCCTTTCCTCCCGTTTTCGTTTATCGTATGTACCTACCGGGTAGAGTAGCATTATACTGTCTTATTTTACATATTGTAGCTCTTCCTAACTCTTGTTGATTGGGAAGCATCCTGACATTTGTTGTCACTGTTTGAATGGTATTTCCCTTTGCCGTTTTGTGGCCAATATTATTTTTCCAGCAACGACGCTAATCCTCATAGTCTAAAGTAGTGTAGTATTCTTTTTAATTTAAAATTGCGCTCAATGCAGCCAGAACGAAGCGTCCAAGTGGCCTTTTCTCCAGATATGAATAGTCTCGGAAGCGGCCAATGACGTATAATAGCCTTTCTTTCTTTTGATAGATGTTGGTACTTTGTCTTCTCTCATCAGGCATACGCATCTCTTGTTTCCTGTGCGGTTTCTCCAATATCTCTGGTACTAGATTAGGCCATATGCGAACCCTCCATATTTATTCTGTGACAACCTTGCTTCTGCTCTACTGATACCTGGTACTGTAGCATTCTAAAGAATGTCATGGAAAATTAAAAGAAACCGGATGCAAGGATTGCGCTTCGCCTACAGTAGTAGGCTTTGAATTGACTTCGAGAAACGGGGGCTATGATCTCTTTGTTCCTTGGTATGATGCAATACAGATCAAATTTGTGGCTATGGCTGGAACACAAATGGAATTTCAAAAGCACTACCAGCAGCCAGATGTTGAAGCATAGCCGCAGGTGTTGTTGAAGCAGCCAGATGTTGAACACTTTTGGGAGCGAAAATCCTTTTCTAATTTCCCGTCACACCATTCTTCGTAAGAAATCACATGTCCGGTACTTCAAAAGTCCGTTTTGCCCTCTGTAGCGTTTTTGATCCTGATATATATTGAAACTTCAACACACTCTCATTTAACAAACATTTGCCGTCACCAATTCACCTGTCACTAAAGATTCCAAAAAATGACCGAGTAAGATACAAAAGAGTTCAAAGGTTCGTCGCTCCTTGAATCAAAAGTGCTAACTACGTTCGACATCGGATGAAATAAGTATCCAAATACCCAGAACACTTATTGGGAAAAATCATGACGGACACTGTTTACTCATATATGATATGAGAAGCTTCCGATCAACACATTCGGCACCTTCTGATCGGTCTCACTTTTCGAAAACTTGTTCAAAACCACACTCCCTCCTCACAAATTATCTCGTCTCATCTGGAACACCATGCTTACCGAAGAGAGAAAGGAAGTTATCTCGGCAGAAACTACCATGCAACCCACCGACAACATATCAACTGAGTTGGAAGTTTCCAAACCGACGAGGACACATCGCAAGTCCGAGAGATCTCGACGATCTACAACGACAAGATTAATGGAAGTAAAGTCCAAAGAGCTACACCGCAACCTATCCTCTGATAAGAATGAGAGAAGCCGCAACCGGTCGAGCCGATCTTCCAAGCCAAGAAGCTCGGGACGAGGACGAAGCAGTGACAAAGGAAAAGATTCCAGCCGAAAGTCTGGAACAAGTGGTCCTCGAAGAAAGTCAAGAAGTACCAGTCGCAGTCTGGATGGGACAGTCGGTCTCAGTAGTAGCGAGGAATTCTCTATTACAAAACTATCAGATGCAG